ACTTATAGGTAACTACCAATGACTTCTCATTCAGGAAATTCCAGATTATCCTTTTCAGAAGATGGGCATAGATTTCAAATATTTCAATGGAATTGACTCTCTTGTAGTTGTAGGCTATTTCAGTAAGTTCTTGATAATAAACAAGCTTCAAAATAAAACGGCAAATTCTGTAATATCTACAATGAAAAATAGGGGAACCCGGGGTAGAACGGGGTACTTAGTGTTTGAAATTTTTTTTTGAGAAAATTTACCGACAGATCCTCAAAATTTTTCTTGGAAACTTTATTTGATGTTATTTCTAATGATTATTACAATAATATATCATTATTTCCTTTCCTGTATTTTCCTATTTATTTTTATGACAAAATCTGCACAATTTCCCGTTGTGCCCCACCTATGGGGTACATTGGGGTACATGTGAGGCAGAATAGAATAGTCGTTTAAAACTTAGTCAACAGTCTTTATTGATCTCTAACTCTATCTCCTAAGTGATGTATTGACTCCGAAGAGTATTGTTGTTCCGTTTTACTCATGTATGTTCAAACCATCTAGAAAAAATTATTTATTCAGGATGATAATGGTTAAATGTTGTTTAATACGAAATAAGTTCTATAGCTATACTATCTACAATGTATTTAAAACAGTTTACATCATTAAACAACATCTACAATGAAGTTTAGCAGTTCAACATACACGTGAGGCGGGACGTGGTTTACCCCGTTCTGCCTCTCCCCATTCTGCCCCAAGAGCATACGTCGCCATTGTGACTACATGAACAATTGAAGGGTTTTAACTAATAAACTAATTTTATGGGGAAAAGGTACCCTAAGAGAAGGGCTTTCTACCTATACTACACAAAATGACCGGCTAGTAAAATTAAACATTAACCGTTGTTCGCAAATTTATCAATTCTTACAGTGGATCTTCCTATAGTGATGCATTTGGCGCAACAGCTCTCGAAGGACTACCAACAAGGTCAAATTTGTTATCAACGTATTCCTAGGGTATAGTGCTGAGAATATTATATCGATATGGCAGCGTTGCACTAACCCGCGAAAATTTGAAACGTGGTACCCCGTTCTACCCTGGTACCCGGTTCCCCTATATTTGTTTCTCATGGATTACCTTTAAAGATTTTTTCTGATAACGGTCAACCTTTCACATCAATTCATTTTAAAGAATTCGCGACATTTTATAAAATTAAATTAACTACTTCAAGCCCATATTACCCAAGGTTCAATGGAATGATAGAAAGGCACAAAATTTGTAGAAGAAAATAATGGTGATGCCCTATTAGCTGTGCTTTATTATCATAACACACCAAAATCTAATTTACCTTCTCCGTTTGAATTGTTATTGGCTACTGGGAAGAAATACCTACTCGTACCCTTATACCTCAGCATAAAGCCAACTCAAATTCCGATGGGTAAGTATTGCTCAGAAGAAATACGTCGAACTCTAGAAAATAAAGAAGAAATGCAGGAAACCTATTATAATAATAGAAGCACAATAAATTTATCTCAATGGAGTGAAGGACTGATTATAGGCTCAGAAAAAAACAATGATTATATGTGGTTAAGGATATGGAAGGTAAAACCTTCAGAAGAAATAGGCAATTAATAAAACCTCTGCGGAAAAATTATAATGCCCAACTGCAAATCTAATTAAATTCGTACCTATCCATATTTAGAAGAGCTAAGTCGGTCCAATAAAGGAGGAGAAAATACTAGTAATTCAGGAGGAGTAGAAAGTGATGTTTTGCAATATGAAAACAACGTTCCAAGTTGTTCAACTCTTGAAGCACCCCTCTGGAAAAGTACCAGAAGAATAAACCCTCCAGATAAGTTTATTCCATAAAAAAAGACGTGTTAGGTATATATTATGTACAGTGGTGAACATTGAAAGTGCGACACGACTGTTAGGTCTTGCCATCTTTCGCTATTTTGGGTAAATCAGACTGGAAATACTGGCAATGCTCTACTAGTTCTGACGTGAGTCGTGGTCTAGATAGCGCTAGTAGAGCTTGTCTTAATAGGCGGTATATGTTTTCTGTATTCTCTTAGTAACATGAGAGTTCCAAGTTAGTTTGCAATCGAGTGTCAGTCAGTACCAGATATTCGACCTCGGCAGCAAAGCTTGATTTGGTATTTAATAAGAGTCTGATTGCTGGCAGAAGTACCCGTTTCCTCTTTCTTCTGAATAGGACCATTACAGTCTTTTTTGATTTGATAGACAGAGTGTTGGAGAATTTAATCAGTTTCAACGTGAAATGGAAAGTCTAAATATGTCGCATGGAGATTCAAACTAAATCTATTATTTCGAATGAAAGGACTGTTTGAAATTGTTACTGGTGAAATACTTCAACCATTGAAGAAAGACAAAGATGATGCAGCTTGGATTAAGAAGGACATAGAAGCTCAGGCCATTATTGAATTAAATATGTGGACGAGAATATTGCTCTAAAAGTTACGATTTGTTCAACATCAACCAATATGATTGAAAGACTGGAAATATTGTATGGAAAGAAAAGTTAGAAATCTGTTGGCATGTTGCAAAACATTTTTTGGCGTACAAATATTGATGAAACCAAAACAGCTGTTGAAAATTGTCAAGAATTGAAAATTAATGGAGAAGATGTTAAAGACAGCTGATGGCTAATGTTTCGAATTTTGAATTGTTTGCCTGAAAAATTTGATAACTTTCATACAGCCTGGCAGTCTGTGGCTGAAAGCGACAAAACACTCATAAATTTAAGGAATCGCTTGCAACATGAAGAGATATAACCTGCTCATAATGGCAAAGAAAGAAGTGTATGGGAAACGGTACAAAGTTTCTCACCCAAGAATAATGTCATAGCAAAAGCATCTTTGGACAGAGTACATGTCGATCTTGGAGAAATGAATGATCGTTCTCATTTTCTCATTTTTAAATATACTTGCTTAGAGTAATTTTCGAACTATTTACTTCTTGGAAAACAAATCTGAGGCAGTAAAAAATTAAATATCTATTTAAACCTGGTGGAGAATCGCAGTATTGGTGGAAAAACTCCAGAAGAATTGTTGTTTGGTACTCGTATTAGTCTGAAAGCAATGAAAATTTTTGGTTGTGAATGTTACATGATGTTACAGGATCATCAGCGTCAGAAAATGAATAAAAAAAGCAAGCAAGGAATTTTTGTCGGATATGATATTGAAGAGCATGGCTATCGTATATATTTTCCGAATGAACGCAAAGTAGAAGTGTCATGCAATGTTTTATTTGATGACAAGATGGGTCCAGAAAGTGGTTATACAGAAATAAATTTCAATTCGACTGAACAAATTGAACAACAGACTGGAAATGAGTCGGAAATAGAGTGAGAGCAAATGTCAGGGGGAGAATGTTGAAAGTAGTGAAGTGATCAAGTAGAATCGACAGATGAAGATGATATTGGTTTGGTGGAAGGTTTTGATGATAATAAAGTTTGTTTACTGAAACGAAGTTTATACGGTTTGAAACAAGCATCAAGAGATTGGAACAAGAAATTTACTGAAAACTTTGAAAAATTTGGATTCATAGACACAGGATGATGACCCATGTATTTTTTACAATGAAGAGAATACAGTAATACTTGGAATATTTATGGATGACGGAATAGTGATTGGTTCTGCTAAAAAAAAAAATAACAAAAATTCTAGTTGGATTGAGCAGAGAATTCAAAATGAAGACCTCAATTCCATAAGATGGTAAACTATTTTATCTTGGAATAGAAATTGAATTGATGCAGGAAGGAATATCAGTCACACAGCAGAAATACACTCGAAAAATATTGGCACGTTTTGCGGATTTGAAGATGCACATCCAGTTTCTACACCTAATGGAACCTGAAATGCAGACAGAAAAGAAAATATAAATGACAAAATCTTGAAAGAAAATCCTTATAGAGAGGCTAGGTTGTTTGTTTGACTCGTCAACGATTTTGAGAGATATAATAAGTTTCGCTGTGAATTATTTAAGTAGAAGAGTCAGTAAGCCAAGTGTTAGTGATTGGAAAATGGTCGAACGAATTTCTCGATATCTAAGAGGAACAGAACATCTTGGCATATTTTTAAATGGCGATACATGCTTGAAAGCATATACAGATTCAGACTATGGAGGAACAGAAGCTGATATGATATCTACTAGTGGTATACCTACTAATCGAATTTGGAGGTCCGATCGTTTGGATTACCTACTCAAAAACAGTTAGTAACTTCAACATCATCGGCAGAGGCTGAATATCGTGCAGCTACAAGTGGAATTCAAGAAGTCTATTGGATTCGTCGAATAATTACAAAACTTGGAATGCAAGAGATGACTGAGCCGACTGATTTGCTTGTTGATAATAAAGCAGCAATTCATATGATGGAAAATGCAGAAGAAGGGAAAGTCACAAAAGGAAAAAAAACACATTGAGATTCGTCGTTCATGAATCAGCATGTTGGGAGGACGGTACGCTTAGTTTATCTGAATACAAAAGAAGAAGTTGCTGATATACCTAAGTATTTACAAAGGCATTAAATAAGTAAGTCTTCAAAAATTTACGTCGGAAACTATTTAAGGAGGAGTGTTGGAGAATTTAATCAGTTTCAACGTAATAATAATAGAAAATTAACTAAATAATTAGTTATATAAGGTAATTTTTTTTGACATGATTGACGTATTAAAATTCAGTCAGTCAAATTTTTATCAAAATCTTTCTCCTCTGTAATTTTTTATTGAAACAAAGCATTTTCAGATTTGTTGGCGGTTCCACTAGAAATAAATAATTCCAATACAGAGTTTATTCCGTGCATCATCTTTCTATAATTCAAAGAGCATCTTGTATGCGTTCGCAGAACGAGTTCTCGAATTAACTTCTCTATAAGATGGCTGAAGATGGCTACGTCATCTACGCTTGTCATTGTTTAGGCGGACAATGAGGTTGTCCAGAACCATATTCCATAGAAGATGTTTTTTCGCTTAAATAAAATGCCAAAAAATAGAATCTAAATCTTCATATTATATATTTGATACTTATATACAATAATTACAAAATACTCTTTTCAATATAAAAAATTTTGAGATTCACATTATTTTAGGCAATAATAATATTATTATAAAAAATCACAAGTCACTCTATTTAGTATACTGGCAAAATAAGCATATTATAAGGTTACCTATCAAAAACAGAAAATATTTTTATAAAAATGTAATTTATTAATATTGCGTTTTGATTTTGAGATTCATTATCAATTATTTTTTGGTTTTAATGCCATATCTATCAAGTAAAATATATAAATTTTTCACAATTAGGAACCAGTCTCAATAAATTAATTAATTCTTTCTAGCATAGTAATTCTTCTAAACAGTTAGTTCTTCTGGTGGGCGTTCTTTGGTGCACGGTCTTCTGAATTCTTGACCTCTTTCATGAATCCATTTATTGCAAACTAAAAGAAAACATAAATAAATAAGCTATTTTTGTTTTGTATCAACTGACCCCATTTAGATCCAGCAAGTACAGGACAAGCAGCATGCCTGGTACGTCTATCACCATCTCCACTAGGAAACAAATTGTACCAAAAGGCTGCGGTACCTTTTTTAGGCCATATGGCAGCTCTTGCTACTGGGAATACTGTGGCACCTCCTTGGGCAACATCACTCATCTACAAAAACAACATCGATCCAACATCCACAATTTGAATAATTACGAGTTATAATAGATACTCACATAAAATAGCACTGTGGCTATTCGATTTCCTGAATTCAAATTTTTAAAGGAGTTTGTTTCTTCTCTCTAAAAAAAAAAAACAATAATTGTGGATCGAGTTCAAAGTAAATGTCGACTTACTCTTGCAAAGTCGAAGTGTGGATCATAATGACCGCCAATTCCATAGTTGACCACTTGTAATTCTTCAGCAGTTTTCATTGTCAGTCCAGTCATGTCTTCGACACGTTGAGACACGGCTGCTATATGCTTGTGTTCCTCATTTTTCAACCAAGCGGATTTGCTTATTCTGTAATGAGCTACTTCTAGTTCACCGGTTCGGGAATTTTGAACAGTTGCTCTTTGGAACTATATTTATATCAATATTAGGTAAGATTCTAGCAGAGCTCTCCAAACTTATTTAGCATTTATATTCCAATGAAATAAGCTTGTAGAAATATTGAAAGTTAACAATATGGACAAGATCAGAATTTTAGCAAGCGAATGGAGGGTTGGGTTGGTATTAAAATCTCTCGCAGGGAAGTATACCTTTCGAATTAATATTAAGCTGTCAAGCTATAATGATTCGCTTTTTTTCTTAAACATCGAAACGTTATTCAAGGAAATTATTCCAGAAGCTAAATTAATCGAACCGACACATTTTATCCAAAACTTTTGCTCATTCTTCTGAAATCTTCTGTTCAAACAGATATATTGTGAGAATAAATACAAATGAAGGAGTACCCAATATGCTACTCCAGGGGCCTGTTTCATAAAAAATATTAGTCTAATAATATTACTCTTTAGCAGGTATTATAAGTCAAAATTATATTATCAATATCATAATTTTGACTTATGCTTTTTGCTAAAGAGTAATATTATTAGACTAATATTTTTTATGAAACAGGCCCCTGAAGATAAGGGAAGAAAATATCAAGGGCAATCAAAAGTCAAGAAAGAAGAAGAAACAGCATCCACCAATTGAACAAAGTGACCATGTGGTCAAAACAGCCAAATCCCAAATCCAGGTTACTCCAAAACCAACAAATTGAAGAGGAGATTTTGGTCCGCAGACTATTAACCTATTAACACGCATCTACAGCAAATATTCTCCAGTATCCATGCTAACTATGAGCGAGTCATGGAAATTCTGTCATCCACTATCAGCTCTCAGCTCTTTTACACAGCTTCTTTCTTTTATTCCATTCAAACTGGAGATTTTCAATCCCCAGAAGCCTTACCCACATAACAAAATTGCATCCTTAGAATGTATTAGGAATGTTCTTTTTTCAGGAGGAATGTGCCTAGAATGTTCGCCAAAACCATTGCGAATGTCCTGAGAATGTTCTGAGAAAAGATTGTAGAAATACTGTTTGCAATACCCAAGAACTTCCTGGGAAATCCATTAGGATATTCCTAGAATATACCTATGAGATTCTCAGTACGTCCTTAAAATAATATTCCTGTTTGATTCTAAAAATATGCTCGAAACGTACCTATATTCTCACATTCAAAGAATGTTTCTATGACATTATAGTTATGTTCTCAAAAGAATATTATACCAATATGCTTGAAATATTCTTAGAATATATCTACATATATCATTCTCAATATGCATATTAGACATTACATTCTTGTTTGATTCTAAGGATATACTTGGAATGTTTATTTTCGCTTCCAAATAATGCTCGTTTCAGCCCTTTTATATTAAAGGCAGTGAAAGAGTTGTTGGAAAACTTCTCTATAAAACACGAGTATTTAACCAAAGCTCCGGTTTCGAGCTTGTTATGCTCTCGTCGAAGCACGCCAACTGAGAGAAACAGGTTCCAAGGTGATTCAAATGCGAGGCAAGATGTAGATCTTTAATAGCGCGTCGCTCCCTCTCTTGGAAGTCATACAAAGCAAAAGGAAAAGGAATATACCTATAATATTCTTAGTAGGTTCTAAATAGAGCATTATTGTTTAATTGTACAATTAAGATTTTTGAGTAGGTACTTTAGATAATTAGATGAACAATATGAAAATATTCTTATCATGGTTACCTACCTACATAAACTTCTCAGCACAACTTGGTAGGTATATTCTTAATACTTGATAGAGATATTAGCTTAAAGAACATTCTTAAGGGTACATTATAATAATGTTCGTATGAGAATATTCAAATAATGTTATATAAAGTAGGTTCTTAGCACAATCTTTCAGGTAGGTGCATAGAAGCAACATTCCTAGTACATAAATAGAACGTTCAAAAATGAATATTTCAATCGAAACAATCTTAGAATATTCGTTGAACATTCCTAAAAGAATATTCCAAAAAGTACTTTGAGGGAATATTCTGAGAATATGAATGTTCTTTCACTGTTATGTGGGTAGCTGGTTCAAGAAATTGTTAAACAAATTGAAAAAAAAAGACAAATACAAGAAATTGGAAAGCAACTCTGAAAGTCACAACTTGAACCACAGGAATCAAAATAACTTCCTCAAAGTCAAGATAAAACAGTCTAGAAGAAAATATGAACAAGAATTGCTAGCCTCTTCTGATGAGAAGTTTTATTCCTACATAAAACAGATCTCTTATTGGTTCAAGACTTAGATACACATATTTCCCAGTTAGGGATGTAACCGCTGTCTGCACCATTAATGATGAGAAATAAGTTCCCGCACTTTGTTCGTCAGTTTCAGAATGTTTTTATAAGAGAAGATCCAATCCATATACCCAACTTGGATCCTGATACATTTTATGCTAGTTAACTTGAAATTGTAACTTTTACAGAGGAGACTGCACTTAAATCTCTGAAGCCAGATTCTAGTTCAGGAGAGGATGAAATCCCTGTCATTTTCCTGAAGAAGGGTGTTGTAACTTTCACACCCAGGAAATTGGAGACTCCACTCAAATCACTGAAGCCAGATTCTAGTCCATCCAGGAGAGGATGAAATCCCTGTTATTTTCCTGAAGAAGTTTGCTGCCAGTTCTGTCACATCCCCTCTCAGCCATGATGAACAATCTTCTTAGGCAGGGCAGACTACCAAGGGAATGGAAGAATGCAATTTAACTTGACAAGCACCCTTTGCAAGAACATGGAGAAAGTCCTGGTATCTGGGATGATTGGATTTTTGCTCGGAAATGGAATCATACCACCTTCCCAACATGGGTTTCTTCCTGGAAGGTCCACTTTAACGAACCGCTTATCAAGGTCCACGACTGGACAAGAGCAGATGACTGGACATCCTGTTGATGTATTTTACCTTGATTTTGAAAAGACTTTTAACAAGAGGTTCTATTTAGACGGCTTCTCCATAAACTCCATGACTATGGTAAAAAGGACTTCTACTCATCCTAATCCAAGATTTTCTGCAGCATCGACAGTTAGGATAGTTTTCATGACGTAAAATTCCTGTAAAGTTTCTAGCCAAGCCTCGGTTCTTGACCCTCTACTCTTTCTTGTATATATTAGTGGCTTTCCAAATGGATTGACGAGTCAAATACCTCCCACTAAACATGTAATGTTGCAAAATTTGTCGGCAATATTGTATCGACAATATTGCAAATATTACTTATCAAATGTAAAGGGATATGAATTTAATATAACTTTAATGGAGAAACATTTGTTTTAGTTATTAAGTAAATGTTGCAGTAGATACAATAATGTATTACATTTGAAACATTATAAAATGTAAGTAAAGCAAATATTATAACAATGTTATAAAATGTAACTTTTCTCAACTCTGTCACTTTAATGTTGCGGAAATATTTACGTTTGTAACATTAAATAAATATATTAAAATAAATGGTTGCATGAATATTATAAGTTCAACTTTTCTCAAAACTGTCGATGTAATGTTGCAGATACCTGCTTTAAATGCGAATGTTAACCGTGTCAAGAATAAAAAACGTTACATAAATATTTCAACATTAACTTTGGATTAGGAAACATAAATTTACTCAATGTTACATACTACTGTGTTTGTCTCTGTCATGCAAAAATATATTTGACTGACAAGGACGGGACAATTGTTTGGAAATTCGGAACGGCGCAGACGCACCACCCATTTATTATTAGTTGTTGATGCCACGCCACCAAAAACTGAAACTGAAAAACCAGTAGGACGGAGGACGCAGACGACGCAGACGACGCTTCTTTTTTCTTGGTCTGACAATAATAACAGAGAGTGAACAGGACGAAAGGATTCATCAAGATCTTGAGATTTTGGGAGAGGAAAACAATAAAGCCAATGTAAGATTTCAACATTTTAATTTTTTGTGATTTTTTAATACTGTTTAATTTTCAATTTTAGGTGGCTTTTTTACAATACCTATGTTGGAAGAATCGAGGCATGTGTGATGAGATCAATTGAAAATTGGAAGTTTATTAACTAACCATTGTGCCTCAGTCTGTAGTTGGACTGGCAGAAATGCAAATCCTCACGATATATTAAATACCTATCTATCATCTATACAATATTTCATTATGTAAATTTCTGTAAAGTACCAATAAAAATATTGCAACTGTAATATTTATCTAAGTTTATAAACAACGTTAAATGCAGGTTTCTGTAAGCTAGCATTTTAAACGTTACAAACATAATGTATTTTTTATGAAAATACAAGATTGAGGCGATATTACAGAAAATTATATTTTGTAAACATTGCATTTGTGAATATTAGAATAAGTCCGTTTCAGTAATTACAGCAACCTTGCACTTATATAGCAGCAATGAAAAATGAAATATTACAATATTATCTAGAAACATTACTAAAATATTAAAGCGATATTACGTTGTTTAGTGGGTGTTGTTATAGTAATCCTGTAACGCAGAATAGAAGCCTCCAGGGGGATATAAAAGTCATCAAACAGTGGACAACCACCTGGCAAATGCCACTGAATGACTAACTGTTCAATTCTCCATCTGGGAAAAAACAACCCCAACTATACTGGGTCTACCCAGGTTATCTGTAATGCTGGACAAAATGATTTGGGAATTGTTGTCATTGAAAACATGAAGTGGGAAAACCATATTCATGGTATCATAAAGAAGTCAAACTCCATCACGTACCTGATTTCCAAGGCATTTAAAGATCCCACACTTCAAATGTTTGTAGAGCTGTATAGGGCTTACATAGGCCCAGGCTGGAATGTGCCCAAAGCATATGGTCATTATTACGTCACTTGAAAAAGTTCAACGTAGAGCAACAAAAATGCCCCCAGCTCTTCGTGACCTTCCATACCAACAAAGGCTGAACCTCCCTACACTTTATGAGAGACGCGCACGTGAGGGATCTAATGATGTTATTCAAAATAATTAGTAAACACTACAAGTGCCAGTTAAGAGTGTTTGAGTTCAGTTTTCCAAACAAGAAACACTGTAAGGAGAGATGTGCCAGGCTTTTGCGTAGAACTTTTTTTGTCTAATCGAGTAGGTTATAATTGGAATCAAATCAGTTGAAACTCTGTAAGTACATCTTCAGACAACCTTTTTGAGAACAGACTAAACAATGAAATGGCTGGATGGACATGATCATCAGTGCTAGGATAGTAACCGACTCAATACAATAGTCTTATCGGTTCATTTTCACTGCTCACTATGGTTAAATAATGATAAATAATAATAATGACGTTAAACCAATTATTAGAATTGAGAGAAATTAGGAGAGGGAACACGAAAAAAACAAAAATACATCAAAATTATTCTTACTCTTGGTTGTGCAAGACGTTTGATGGTAGCAATTTCATCATCAGACATAACATCGTGGAATATAAACAAGTCAGGCTCCAAGTTAGCTTCTTCAACTTTAAATGGTGCAATTTTCAGGAAAGGATTGTTATTGGAAACATATCTACATCTCAGTTGAGTTTTAATTTCAATCGGGATGGTTACTTCACCTCTGCATAAGGCTTCGTATAGATCTTTGCTTTCTGGATCATCATAGTTTGGCTAAAAGGAAAAACTTTATTTCTGTGAAGAAAACAATTATTCTCATTCAAAATCGACTTCTACAGTTTTAGTTCCCACCACCAAAGTAAGGGTGAAAAATGAAAATGTAAACATTACTTTGTAAAATTTTACCCCAGCAGTTTCGACTTCTGCAGATTCGTCGTCGCCTTTTCTTTGGGCTGGTTTGGTTTGCACAACTTCCTTAAGTTGATCTTCAAAGAAGTTTTTATTCCCTACTGCTCGTGTATGTTCTGGAATAAGTTCGAGTAGCTTGTTTGTCAAGTCTAGAGCTAAAGGAATGTTGCCTAAAATAGAAAATATATAGATTATCAAGAAACTTTGTATGAACCTAATCTTGCCTTCTTTGTATGTAGAAAACGCTAAATACTCAAGAATATCAGTTTTGTGTACAGTTTCATTTGCTTCTCTTTTCAATCGGGTTTCAGCTTCTTCCATCCATAGTCGGGTGTGATAAAAATCTCCATTATTATATGATTGTCTTCCCAGTTCAAAACAGTCAGCTGCAGTTAGTTCTGAACTGTATTTTACACCATTTAGTTCGCCTTCAAAGGTTTGTAAATTTATATTACATGAAATTAAATTTTTGGATATACAAACCTCTAGCTAAAGATGATGTATCTAATTGATAAGTATCTTGTAGTCTCATTAAGGCCACAGCTGCTCCATTAAGGTCTTCATCAGTAGGGAATTTCATATTTTCTTTAAAGTATGTTATATTGGCTAAGGCATCTGAAATGTATAAGTTTTTAAAAAAATGTAAAAGAGTCATTATGAAAATTCTTGCCTGCGTTTACATTAGTACTAATTAAAGTTTCAACCTGAGACCAATCAGCGGTTAACCTTTTCACTAAGGTATATGCATTTAAAGGATTGCCTAGGTATAATTGCGGATCATTACGTGCTTTGTTTTGTTGCTTTTTATAAACGTTTATGTAGCTGCAATGAAAGAATCATGTCTAAATATAGGTTTTAGATAGAAGTTATAGCACATTTTACCCTCTTAAAATGTCCAGCTTCTGTTCTTCGGCCTTGAGATAATTTTCCAAAGTATTGATAAGGACATGTTCTGTATCTAGAAGATCCTCTAGATCTACCATAGCAGTGTAAACTTCGCAATGACATTTTTCAAATAGGAACAGGAATTGAATCACTAGGAATATATGGCACTTCGACATTGTTGGGCAAAATTCTGAAAATAAAAACTTGATTTTAAAGAGAAATTTGCATTTCAATGACAGTCACGAATCAGCTTTGAAATGTTTATAAAATCGTTAACATAATGCATCTCTGATGTGATGTACTGTCTAACCTTTTGCAAGAAGAAAAATGTTTTTTGTATCTGTGTTTTCTCATCTAACATCTCATCTGACATGTGGTGTAATGAAATATAGGTATTGTTTTTGTCTTCTAGTTGAGTGAATATTATGAGCGGATACAGTCAGTGGTGCAGAAATTTTTTACAGCTCATTGTAACGGATTTTTTAACTTGGTTTTTGGAATATTTGCAGATTAGCATCTGAAGAACCAACCCATAGAATCTCTAATCTTTTGGCTATTTTCAAATCTGATCGAAATAAATTTGTCGTTTATTCGTGACTATCACGAGAGTAATACACCAGGAAATCTAACTACGAAAACCTGCATGTAAATCTTGCAATTTCTCTCTAACCTTCCAAATGCGTTATGCCATATAAGGTTGAACACGGTCGATTTGTACCTATCTGAAGCATTGACAAATTAAACGAACAGCTATCTGATTTTTTTTTTTTTTTGTGGTGGAGTACTTACCTACCTATACCTTTCAGAAAAGTGGTCGCAACCAATTGTGAAAAAGGAGAATTTCTTATGATAAGAAAATGCAGTTGAATTATGAAAATATTCTAGACCTTGATCCAAACATCAGTTTGCATAATATCTATAAAACAAAGCCTAAAGTATTTATTGGTATACCTTCTATTACCAAGTTAATTTGGAACAAATTAGACAATCATTCAACAATCAAACTTGCTTACCAAGGTAAACAAAATGACAATAAATATAAATTATATATTTTTAATGTACCTATCAAGTTGAAAATAGCAGACATAGCAAACCATTACCTATTGCCTAATTTTTGGTTCGATGTAAAATCAAAATAATTGCACACAATGCAAAACAAACCTCTGTTCTATGTAAAATGTAAATACCAACCTGTACTTTGGTATTGAATTTTGCAATATCAAAAAATACACAAAACTTTAGAAAATATGCCAAAATAATACCTAGGAAATTGAATCTAGCCCAAACACGCAATCGTCTAATTAAAATCGTCACTTTCTTCGCAATCTCTTTTTAAATGAGTTCTAATTTAATAACTCGAAATACTTGCGACTAAAAGTAAAGATTCACACGTTTTGGGACACAGAAAGTTAATTATAGGTTTCGAAACGATGTTTGCATTAGCTTCTAAATAGCGTATCTATAACCTTTATGGGGTACCCAAAATGGCACCATTAGGTACTTGGTAATAAACATCATCGTCCTGGTAACCATTATATTGCAATATCTTCATTGATTTAAAGGTCAAACACATTACTTGCATGGGCTTTAAGTAATTTGATTTTGAAGATGATGATGATGGCCTAGGATAATGGACAATAAAGTCATGAGAAAAAAGTTGGGTGAAATTGTTTGGAATCTCGTCTAATTTACGAGTTGCAAATTGACAATTCTTGTCACATAAAAATACTTGCACTACTTTTAGATTTTTCTTGTTGTTCTGAGAAAATCGTCATAAACTTTTGACACTCAATTTATTTTTAGTTGTATAAATTCATGTGTAGAGTGCATATACGTGATGTTTTAACAATATCCTATTACATGTTTACAGATACACGTTTTGTGGCTATTTTTTATACGTCAAGTTGCATAAGATGAGAAAATTTAAGTATGCATTTATAAAACAATAAACTGAACATCAACGATTATATTGTGAAACTAAATATATCTTTGGCTCGTAAAGGAAAAATGAAATGATTTTTATATTTTCTGGTTAACTGAATTCAAAATACCTACAAACTTAATTTCTTCGTTAATCTCAATTTAATTTATTATTTATATTTGATCATATTTTTATTTCCAAAATGCATCCTGGGGCCTGTTTTATAAAAATGAAGAATTGAGGAGTGAGGAGCGACATAATTTTACATTTCATTTCATAAAAGTTTTGAAGAGTTGAGGAGTGGAGGGTTGAAGAGTGACGAGCTGAAGAGTCGAATAGTTTACGAAATTTTTAATTTCATTTCATGAACACTCTTCACTACTCAACTCGTCAAGATTTACTGAGGAGTTCACGAAGATCCTCATTTCTATTTCAAATACGTTAAGTGCACACATCATAATGCAAAATCCACTATTTAGTAGTAATTCTTCTTCCGATGAAGAAGATGTGCCCCAAAGAAACAAAAAAGTTACATATGAAGACACTGAGGATAATTTGTTTAATGCTACTGATGGTTAGAAAATAGACCTTTTGATGTAAACATCAGATTCAGGATGTCTGAAGAAAAACTTACTTCCTGCTGGAGATGATTCTGCATACCGACTTTGGAGCAAAGTACTAGAGTAGGAGGATTAACAGTTAAGCAAATTATGGAAGTGTCTTTCCGTTGGCTATTATTTTGTATACTTATACTGGTCAACTCTTTATTGATAGCAAGAGGAGTAGACGCTAATTTATTTTGAAACAAAAACGACATTTACTTTTCACTCTTCACTCTTCACTCTTCATTTTTATGAAACATAAACAAAGTTATGTAATAAAAATTATTCTGCCATTGTTTTTCAAAGAAGATTTTTAGACAAATTTTTATAATAAGGAGTTTTCTCTTTCATAATATCACTTTTTGTTTGGCTGAACTGATGAATAATGATTATCATTATTTAATGATATGTTTCCTTCTGGGGTGTATACCTACTTTCTTTATTTTGATGATTGTAGATCTGTATAGTTTGGTATAGTATTAAAATTGTTTTCAATAAAATAGCGTATTTTTCTGTGATTATAATATAGTATACCTACATGAAAACAGCGAGATGAGTCCCATCCAAAGAAAGTTATTACACGAGTTATATGGTAGTCAATTCCCAGAAATGCTGAAGTTGCCGATGCTGAGGTTGCATATTCAACCTCAATATATAGAAGATCCCAACCAGGCGCGGGCAGTCTGCTTTTAGATATATTTTAACTTTAATTTGTAACTTGTTAGTTTAAGTTGTAATAATAAATTTTTAAAAAGGCAAACCTCCGGTCGTGTTAGTTAATTGGCGCAGTCGGAACGGATTTTCGGGAATCAATATAAATCGATTATATTGATTTTTTCCATTTCAACTGAATTTACCGGAAAAGAATCTAGTGTTGTGACGTTGGCGGAGGTGTTGAAACAGAGTGGACTTTCTGAATATTGAAAACTCCCAATCTATCGTAGATCTGTGGATTATCGTCGACCAACAACTGATCATCGAGAAATAGAACCAACATTGTCTATTTTTGCAAGGTTCAAGATTTGGAGAGGACAACCATTGCCAAACCGAAACTTCGACCTTATAGGAAATAACTGGAATTGCCTGCCTAATATTATTGTAAGTAGTGTAATTGATTTATTTTCATGTCGGTTGATAACATTGATTCAATTATTGCTAATTTAGAACAATTAAATATATCAACACCTTCAACTGACTCTGATTCCGAACAAAATTTAGAAATTAATTTAAATTTAAATAATCAAACAAGCAACAATATGTCGCAATTCGCAATTCAAACCAGAATACCTAAACTGTGTCCCAGTTTTTGATGGAAATCCGAACGATTTGAATTGCTATATATTTACTTGTCAATCTCTTATAGATAGTTTTTATGTCGCTACAGACCCTCACCAATTTCAAAACATTTATTTACTGAATTCTTTGATCGGCAAACTTAGTGGACAAGCTAAACTAATTGTTAATATTCAAAATGTCACGACATGGGATGAATTAAAAGATACCCTTAGACGTAATTTTGCTGATCAAAGGGATGAAGCTTGCCTAAATAGGGATTTGGTAATGATGAAGCAACATCCGAATGAAAAGCCAAGTCAATTCTATGATCGAATTTTACACATCCTTAATCTTTTGTGTTCATATGTTGATTGCCATGAGAATGTAGTTTCCTCCAAAACATTGAAACGAACATTATATAACGATCTTGCACTAAAAACTTTTTTGTCTGGTCTTAGCACACATTCCAAAATTTTCCAGTGAATTCAAACTTTCCTTTCAATCCTCAAACATCTCATTATGCTTATAGACAGAGTTTTCCATCGCAACCTATCAATTTGCGACCCAACTTCAACAGACCCACTCAGAGATTCTTTACGAATACTCAAGTGTTTGGAAAACCCAGATCTAACGTTTTCAGGCCAAATCAGCAAACACGATTTCCGGCCCCAAAACCCATGTCAGGTGTAGAAACCTCTACGTTTAAACCTCTACCTAGTACTTCAAACGCACAAAGTAACTACCAACCCCCAAAGCTTGTGTTTGAAGAAGTCTACAACACTGAGACAGAACAACTGCCACAATATACATACGAAAATCAATATTATCCATACGATAATCAATATTCTCAATACGACAATCAATATTCTCAATACGATAACCAATATTATGACCAGAACAATTATTACTTCTACCCTAATGTGCCTAATGATGATTGCTATGAAACCAGTGACACTAATAACACATTCGCTGTTAATCCAGAAACTCATGGCCTAACACAAGAAGAAAATAATGACCCCCAATCCGAATATAACCAAAATTTTCAGGACCTTATTCAGACCAACAAGAATCCGTAGGTCAAAACACCCAAATAATTTCTTTTAATATGTCAAACTCTAGCGCACTTTCCTATATTATTTTCCCGGAAAATAACTTGAAATTTTTAATTGATTCAGGTTCAACTAGGTCATTTATAGATCCTAATTGCCAAAAAACTATATCCAAATAGAATATTCCATGACCCTTTGCTTGTTTCGACAGTATTCCAAAAATCTGCTCACCAATACAGTACCTTAATTCCTTCATCAAAAATATTTAATTAACCAAATAATAAAGACCTCAAATTTTATCTTTTTAAATTCCATAATATATTTGACGGTCTAATAGGACTCG